TTGTCAGGTTAGCCAACATGATAGTGGGAAATTGTGACAGCTAATCTTCCATAGAAGCTGGCTGTTTAGCTTGTTAAAATATTCAGTGGCTCATTGCAGACCAACTTTTTAAAATCCTTTTGTCTGCAGTTTGTACAATTCCTATTTCACTGCATTTTGCATGGTGCAGCCTTACTGTTAAAATCCACTGGGGCCATTCTGCGTGGGATTTGCAGGTTCTCTCCGGGTACTCAAGCTTCCTATCACAGTCCAAAGACAAGCAGGTAAACTTCACTGGTGATTCTCAATTGGCTACAAGTGTGACTGTCAATGTCTCTCAGTGCTATCCCTGCAATAGGCTGGTGGCCTGTCCAGGGTCACCAGCCTGGACAGGCCACCGACTCTTGCCACTGCAACCCTGAACTGGAGAAGTAAAAGACGATGGATGGATGGATGGCTTGGCTGACTGGATGTACAACATGTCATCTTAAGATATATCAGTCTTCAGATGACACGCCTGTGGTGTGTGCCTTAAAGGTTAAAAAACAAAAGACAATTACCTGCTCCAAAAAGATGAGACTCAAAGCGTGTTAGATAAGTTAACATGCAAAGGAAAATCGGCAGTGACTGACCACGACTGCTGATTGTCCTCAGAGCCTTACGAAGGCTTAAGAAAAAAAATAAAATAAAGACAGATGCTCACCTCAAAACAAAGCTTCCAACACAACAGCATGGTAGGGGTATGTTTATTAGCCACAAAGCAGTGTGAGAGACAAGCTAAACACACAAAACTACATTTAATTTTCCAAACTGCTTCCATCCTAGCTGTGTATGCTGAGCTCGTGTGTCTGCTAAATTGATTGTCAGTTAAATACCCATGGCATTTATTTGGGGAGTCTGGTTAATCTGTTGTGCTTGAGGTGTTTGAATATGATGATTAATGAAGAAACCATGCTGTGTTTAAACAAAAGCTGCACAGCAGGTGTAGAGCTGGGTAATACTCACTGCACTGATAAAGGGCAGGTTTAGGATGGAGCCAAGGACTGGTATTCTCCTGATAAAGCCTACAACCACTGGAAAGAAGCCCCTGGATGTGATTAAAGAGAGGAGAGTAAGACAGA